CATACAGACGTCGACTCTTATTTTGAAATGTTGCTGACGCGTTTCCTGTTAGCGTGATGAAAACCGGTAAGATTTGAAGGTAGAGTTATAAAATTATTTTAAATTCGTGATGTTATATACTTACATTTTCTGCTGTCTCTTGAGTTTAAAACACCTAACAGCTGAGCTGTTTGAGCTGTAATCAGCTGAATAACAGGAAGAGTTTCACTTTTCGTTAGCTAAGCAAACTAGCTAGCATAATCTGTTTACATGTTCGTCCAGCTGTTTTTTATTTTATTTTATTTTATCATTATCCTTCAGATCTGAGTTTGGCGGAGTAACAGATGTTTTTTGCCGATTTGTGGRTGACTAAATGTAACCAATGACACATTTGTTAAACTAATAACTTTCACATTAAAGTCATATTCAGTTTTAGTTCCTGCCTTGCAGTGCTGTATTTGTGTAGGTTTTTGGTAAAATTCAGTGTGTTAGGCCACTCAGGCAGACAAACAAGGTAAAAGTAAGTTTTGAACATTTAACTGAAGTAAAAGTTAGAACTCGCTCTGTTTTTTAAAAGCATGGGTGTGTTTGAAAGGCTGTTTTATTTCTGACTGCTGAGCCTTTTGATGTGTAGCAGGTAGTTTGTGATGATGTGGTTTTGTTTGTGTGCAGGTGTTTTATAAATGGCAGCCGTCCACAACAGTGACTCCTGGCTGACAGAGCTGATCTGTGGCCTCTGTCAGACAGACCAGGACAATCCTTTCCCTCTGTGGCAGGATGGACACATTGGCCTCTGCTTCAACCAGCTCATCCTTGGAGCCTTGCCTCATGCTGGGATGGCAGTTTTCTGTGCCTGTTATCTTAGCATGCCAAGGTAGGACAAGACACAAGTGTAACAACACTTGTGTTTGTCATTTAAGAACATTTAGCATGATTTGCATTTATAATGTAAAACAAATCCTAATTTGTTTACAAAATTAGGGTTATCAACATGTGAAACATTAAGGTTGCAGTTTTGAAAAGCAATCAGATTTTAATTCAGCCAGTTTCTGTACCTGCTTCTCTTTCTGGGTCATGGCAGAGTCTTTCCCAGTTCCAGATGTGAATAACAGTTTAACAAAACCAGACTAATAACCTGACAGTGGATTCAAAAAGAACACTAAAACACTTACAAAAATAACATCAAAATCAAGTGATTATCTCAAGTGTGAAGGAAAGTATGGATGTTTGTTTATTTGTAATAATTGTGTATTTATATTCATATTAATTTTGTAACTATATGTGACCCATCACATCGAAACAAGGATTAAGTCCAAAAGTTGTACATGGAGAAATAGGCAAATATAGTGTTTTGACTAAAATGTTAACAAAAATTGTAATTTGTAAAAATATAATGAATAAAAGCCTTATTAATGTATCATTTGAATGAACTGTCTGAAAT